ATAATTTTCAATCAATTTTATATATGTTTGTGCATTGTTTAAAAATAATTACATTTAAATTGTCATTAACTACCTTAATAAAATATATTTACCATCATTTTTAATTATAAAGTTTTATTTCTTTTGTTAATATATATTTTTATGTGTATTTTATTTATTTTTATTATTTTTATAAAATTCAAAATATTTTATGAATTAAGGATAATTAATTTTCAAATTTTTATAATTAGACCAACAATTCTTTACTTAACTAAAAGATATGTATGCTAGAGTTTATAATTATTAAATTAAGTTAAGTACGGTACATAATTTATATCAATTATATATATATATATATATATATATTATCTTGATTATTTATATTATTTTTAAATTTAATATAAAAACATTTTATATTTTAAAAAATATACATCACTTTAATTTTAATATATAAATAAAATATTAAATAATTTTATATTAACCTAAATTTTTGTAAACATAATTTCATGATTAAATCTTTCAATCTGAATTTCATAGTTAATTTTAAAATTAAATAATATAAAAATAAGTATGACTTACCCATATATTATTGAATAATTCTATAAATATATTGGAGTATGAGAAAAAAAAAGGACAAGTCAAATTACAATTAATATTTTTATATAAAATATATTTTTTATCAAACTAATTGTTGAATTATAATTAAATATTACTAATTATTTACATTATTTTTTTGTCTAAATTTAAAATATAAAATATGCAATAAAATAATATTTTTTTAGATAATTCAAGGATATATACTGTGTCAGTTTTTAATATATAAAAAATAAAATATTGATTAATTTTATATTAGTATAAAATTTTATAAACATTATTATATGAGTGTAAGTTTTAATTTAATAACTAACATCTTAAATTCAATTATTTAATAAAATTTATTAAATAAAAAATAAATATCATTTATAAAAGTAGTATAACTTAATTAATTTTAAGTTTAAATATAAAGAGAAAGAGAAATAAAAATAAAATGAGAGAAACAAAGTTATCACCGTGAAAAAAAAATTATCCATGAAAAATAATTAAATAAAAATACAAGAAAAAAATTTAACTTAAAAAAATTAAATAATTATGACACAAAAAAAGAATACAGATTTAAACATAATTATTATCATTATTCTTTTCATTAATATGATTAGAGTGAGAAATTATTCGTTCAGTTTATTATATTTTATAGAAATTGTATTTAATTAATTTTTTTAAAATTTTATTTTTATAAAAAATATTAAAATTAATATTTTATTATATTTTTAATATAATCTTACATTCAAAATTTAAAGAAAATATTATTCTATAAAATAATAAAATTTCAAAATTAAAATGTACAATCCATGGAATTTTAATAAGTGTAAAATATTAAAAGACAATAAATACCTAAACAACAAATACTTAAAAAGTGATACTTGAAATTGATGGCTTTGTCTTATATTTTGTCATATATTATTGAAAAGCGACATAGATAAATTCTCAACACTCAGTAGAAACTAGTATATAAATTAAGTCAACACTTCTTTTAAACAAAAAATAAGAATAAAATAAAAATTCGTATTTACTTTAAGTAACTACAACAGTTTAAAAAGAAAGAAGAGAAAAAAGTTCAAAAAATAAGTAAAAGAAAGATATTAATACAATATTTTTTAGATTAAAAAAATTTTAAAATTTTGAGATTAAGAGGGTTTATAAAACCTTTCTCTTATTTAAAAACTCTAAAACATGACTAAACATTATGTAAGTTTTTAATTTTTTTCTATTGTACTTAAAAATTAATTTCTTTTGATGAAGAGAAAAAATTATTTGAAGGGTAAAGAAGAAGAAGGGAGAAGAGTAGTAAAGACGGTTAATGTAAAACCTTTAAAATTAGAAAAATTTACAAACATAGGGTTAAGAAAGTTTTAAATAGCTTATAAATATTTCTTCTCTTATACAAAAAATCTAAAATAAGAATAATTATTATATAAATCTTTCTTTCTAGATATCATTTCACAAACAAAGTCTAAGCATCTTCTGCATGAAAAATTTGTCAAATAGAAACTCTTGTCATAAGAAGCAAATTTTATAGCAAATAACTTAACAAGAATAAGGCATAATCTTATGCTTAGATTACACTTTCTTAACTCTATTCTAATAGCTACATTAGCTAAATACCTAATTTTAGATAATTTTTGTTACTCTTACTTACTCATATACAAAAAATAAAAATAAAAATATTAATCATGAGATAGTCATGTATAAAATGAATTAACTATGAACTATTCCAATTTAATTCATCAAATTTTGTTTAAATTTATTTATTTAATTAAATAATCAGACTTAAAATTTTTAAATGAGTAAAGATTGAGATTTTAAAATTTAGTATTTACAGGTCACGAAAAGTTTATAAATGTGTGTATGTTATTATAAAATTATTTTATTTATTTAAGGAATGTGAAATTTTAATAATACATTTTTCTTTTAATCATTTTATAGGCTTAATATACCCAAACTATCTAAAGCAAAACTATTTAAACATCACTAAAATACTTTAAAACAAAAGTATAAAAAATCTAAAATGATAATATATAATCTTAGTTTCTCTCTTCTTTATTTTGAACAAACTTTAATATGTACTTAAGTACATGGAGAAAAATCTAACAACTATTTTTAATGCATTTATTTGTTATTAGTTAAAATTTATTAAAATAAAAAATATAAAAAAATTTATGAAATTAGGAGTGATACTCATGTATTTTTTAATTACTAATAAAAAATCCCACAATTAAAAGTAAAAAATTAAATCACCTAGATCAATAAAACAATTAAATCACTTATATAATTTTATAAATATAAAATTTATTTAAAAATATTCATAATATTAAATGGTGTAATTATGTAATTAATGACTCAATAACTTGTTAACATATATTTAATAATAATAAAAATAATAAAAATAAAAATTTAATAATTAATACATCTTAAATTTATCTTATATTTTTTATAATTAGGACTACAAAAGTATTTTATTTTGTTATTTATAAAAAAGATTGAAAATGTTATATTACTAATATTCATCATATTTCTAATTATTAAAATTTAATTACAAAATTTAAAGTTATTTATTATAATTTCTTCTTAATAAATATAACGTCGTTACCGAGTACTAGCAACCCGGTTTAATAAGAAAACTGTAATAAATGTACAATTTGCATGTTTTTGTTTGGAAGAAATTTGTGCCTTATCAGTAAATAAAACGGCACCGTATCATCCTATCTATTCGAGGTTGAGGTCACTGATGTCGCAACACAATCTTTAGCTCACCCACACATGTCAACACGATGTTGATTTTCTTGAGCATTATAAACAGATAGAAGACAATTAAAAATTATGTGAACGAGTACTTTTTATTATTTCATTTTTAAATATTTTTTTTATCTTTAACCACCTTTTTAAAAGATTAGTAAGCATTTTTCATTCTTTGTGTTACAAAAAATAACCTTCGAAACAAAAAAACTTATTAATCATTTGTATTTAGTATTTTGTTTAAATGAAAAGTAAAATAAGGAGGAAAAATAAATACAATACAAATTTATTTAATTATTGGATTATTGATGACTAAATATAATTATAAATGAAATTTATCTTAAATATAATTATATAACAAATTTATCTTAAACATAATTATATTTAATTAATTAAATTTGTGAAAAAATTATTTTAACAGTGTATATTTGATAATTACCATTTTATAAATGATCCAAACGAAAATGAAACATTAGAAGGTAACGACCAAGTGAAAAAGAGTACAAAATTGGAAATTAAATTTCAATGATTTGTGTTGGTAGGGCCGGACCTGATTCATTAGAAAAAGGGTTTATCCTGACGACACAACTGCGATTCGGGTTCCGGTGTCCCAAATGGATTCTCTCCGCCGCAGTAAATAAAAGTTAAAAGTTTTCATCAAGCAATTATTATAGGTATTTTTATAGGTATTTTTATATTATTTCTAAATCAATTTTATCTCAATATTTTATATAATAAAAATTAATATGAAATATACCAGTGAAAATTGATTTTTCATTAAAACAAATACAAACATTTATATGTGGTTAAATTTTATTTTGGTCTCTTTATATTTTTTACCCATTTTTTCAATCCACTTTAAATTTTAATGCAGTTCTTTAACTTTTGAGTTTTATTATAGTTTTCTAATTTTTAATAATTTTTTCATTATTTAAAAATATAAACATTAACAAACATATTTTATACTTTATTTAAAGAAAAATTATTTTTTATAAAACTATTAATTATCTTTAAAATATAAAATATATTTTATTTAATAATATAAAAATAAAAAAATTTAAAAATATTCTTAATTTTGTTTATTTAATTATATGTTTTAAATAATTTTATCAAAATTTCTCCAACTTTATTTTATCTTTTAACTTTATAATTTTAAATAACAATTTTTTGTTATTTTTTTCTCCTTACACTAACTCCATACTTCATTATCAAACTATTATCTAAAATTCTCAAATTTCTACCATAAACTTTCTTAATTTCCTAAAGATAATTTCTAATCAACTATTGAACTCTGTTTTTTTAACTTTAAATACTTAACCATCACCTTACAGCCACCATCGTTATAATAAAATAAGTAGTTATTTTTTTTATACAAACTAGAACACTTTTAATAATTAAACAAACTCTAAATTAAATAAAAAAATGAAAACTTGAATTACATTTAAAGAATAAAATTTAGAATTAATCTGTTATAACATTACATAAAGATTTGTCTTTTTCAAACCTTTACATTTCCCTTGTTTTATTCATTCCTTTTGTTATTCTGTTTAACCATGGTTAACCAAAATTTTAACCACACCACCACCGACTTCTATATAACCTCCTTCATTCTTGAGTTGCTGCATTACACATCACCACCACCACTCTTTCTCTCGTCCAAAACCAAAACACTAACAATCTCCGAAACCATGTCACAAGATTTTCACCTGTTGTTCTTCCCTGAGCTGCTTCAGCTACCTTTCCTCAGTTCCCAAGCCGCTCTATGTGTCATCCTCTTCGCTCTCTACTTCCTCTTCCGTCTCACGCCTGGTGGGCTTGCTTGGGCTTTCTCTAAGTCCTCTGCCCGCTCCATTATTCCCGGCCCAGTTACGGGCTTGCTAAGTGTTTTCAACGGTTCCACACCTCATCGCGTTCTGGCCAAACTAGCCAGAACCCATCACGCCGAGAAGCTCATGGCTTTCTCTGTCGGTTCAACCCGGTTCGTCATTTCTAGCGAACCGGAAACCGCCAAGGAAATACTGGGTAGCACCAGTTTCGCGGATAGACCTGTTAAGGAATCGGCTTACGAGCTTCTCTTTCACAGAGCAATGGGGTTCGCACCGTACGGAGAGTACTGGAGGAACCTCAGGAGGATTTCTGCGCTTCATTTGTTCTCTCCGAAGAGGATTTCGGGGTTTGAAGGGTTTAGGCGCGATGTGGGGTTGAAGATGGTGGAGGAAGTGAAGAGGTTGATGGTGGAACAAGGACACGTGGAGGTTAAGAAGGTGCTTCATTTTGGGTCGTTGAATAATGTGATGATGACGGTGTTTGGCAAGTGTTATGGGTTTTTTGAGGGCGATGGGGTTGAGCTTGAAGGGTTGGTGAGTGAAGGGTATGAGTTGTTAGGGGTGTTTAATTGGAGTGATCATTTTCCTTTGCTTGGGTGGTTGGATTTACAGGGTGTGAGGAGGAGGTGTAGGTGTTTGGTTGCAAAGGTTAATGCTTTTGTTGGGGGGATTATTGAGGAGCACAGAACGAAGAGGGTGTCTGGTGAATATGTGAAGAACGAAGGCACTGGTGATTTTGTTGATGTTTTGCTTGACTTGGAGAAAGATAACAAACTTAGTGATGCTGATATGATCGCTGTTCTTTGGGTAAATTAATGATTTTGTTGTTTAATGTTTGTTTTAGTAACTTGTTATATTTTAGTGAAAGGTTGTTTTTTTTTTTTAAGGTTGTGTTGATTTTGTTATGTGGTGTTTGTTGTTTTTAGGAAATGATTTTTCGAGGGACGGACACTGTGGCTATATTGTTGGAATGGATTTTGGCGAGGATGGTGCTTCATCCTGATATACAAGCAAAGGCGCAGAGAGAAATAGACGGGGTTTGTGATGGAGGGTCAAGGTCTGTTTCTGATGCTGATATTCCTAACTTGCCTTATTTGCAGTGCATTGTGAAGGAGGCTCTGAGGGTGCACCCACCTGGTCCATTGCTATCATGGGCTCGTTTAGCCGTGCACGATGTTCAAGTGGGTGACAAGCATGTTCCTGCAGGAACCACAGCGATGGTGAACATGTGGGCCATCACTCACGATGAGAAGGTGTGGGCTGATCCAGAGGAGTTCAAGCCAGAGAGGTTCATGGAGAATGATGTGAGCATAATGGGTTCTGATTTGAGGTTGGCTCCTTTTGGGTCTGGGAGAAGGGTGTGTCCTGGGAAGGCTTTGGGTTTAGCTTCTGTTCATCTCTGGCTTGCACAGTTGCTTCAAGGGTTTCATTGGGTTCCCTCTGATGATGCCACTGTGGACTTGACTGAGTGCCTTAAGCTCTCCATGGAGATGAAAACCCCACTTGCTTGCAAGGCTGTTCCTAGGGTTGTTGCTTGAGTAGACCCATGGCTTGTGTGCCGTGGCAGAAGCAAACTTCGCTAGTTGTTTATTCGGCTTTGGTTTATTTCGCTAAGCTTAGTAATTAGGGTTTCGATAACCTTTTACATCTTGTTCTAAATGCACCTTAGTTTTGTGGGCTTAATAGTAGGTTTTTGGGAAAGGTGTTGTTGGATGTAAGGTTTCTTCTGTGTGAGTTGTTATCTAATTAAGTTGTAATGCGTGGTGTTCTTTATGTGCTGTGCTTAATGAACGTGCGTAGGTGCTGTTTATGTTTAATGATCATGGGAATTTACTCTTCTTGTGGTTCTCTCTCGGATATGAGTTTTTAATTCGGTTTCTCTTGATCACGTTGATGCCGTTTCAAATATCAAGGTCCTCTGCGTGTGCCCGACTTGTCGATACAATTAACCAGAACAAGTTTAAAGTTGCTCCGTATTAATGATGGTTGTGTTATAGAGTGGAATTCATTGAACTAAGAAATGAAGACGTCTAAATCTTGTTCTAAAAAAGGTTTATTATTGAGAAATTCTATGTCCATGTGCGAACAGGGTTAATTTAATTTTAATTTTGGGTTTTTATAACTAGTGTTATTTGATTAAGGAATCAGGGAATCAATCAATAGGATGTTGGAATTTACATGGGAGTTCATTATAATCGAAGAATTTTTTATTTCTTGACGAGCTTATTTTCCTTTTATTTTATAGTTGGCAAGTAACAGTTAGATAAATATTTCGTTAATTTTATGATATAACTAAAAGGGCTCTAATCTGGTCGTATGAAGACATTTATGGTTATCTACTTGGGTATATGTAATTTAGAGTAATTTATTTGGAAGACTATTATTTGTTTATTTTACCTGTTCTGTTTCAAGTAATTGAAACAGCCCTCCCTCCAAACAGAATAATTGTTTATGTATACAATATGAAGTAAAAGAAATTACATGGTTAGGATGCATGTTTATTATTATGTATTTTGTAAATGTTAAATGATTGTGCCACTTTCTAAAGAATGAAAAGTAAGAGTAAAATTTTAAGGAGTTTACAATGAAACAGAAAATTGTTATTATGGTATGTTTTATCCTATTTTTAATGTATTTTAATAAAATATATGGTTTAATTTCTTATATTGATAAGTAAAAATTTATATAATTAATTAATAAATAAATGAGTTTAATTTTGGTGTTATTAATATAATTTTTTAAAAAATGTTAACTAATTATAATAAACAATAGATATAATCTTCTATTAATTATTATAAAAAACATATTTTATTATGTGACAATTTTTGATTAATTGATAATGTAAAAAATTATTATATTATGGTTACACTTTAAATAAATTCTAAATTAATATACAACATAATGTAAGATTTTCTTGTATACAAATGTCTTTGTATGGCATCTTGTTTGCAAATGCTATTCTTACTCGTGTATAATCGACTAATTACAAAACCTGACTCTTTTTCTTTCTTCATCAGTGATAAAAAATGTACTTAAAATACATTAACAAATCCAAATAAGCACTAGCTACATTAGTTATTCTCATTCAACGATTCTTCTTGTCCAACCTGCACTTAACTCTACAATGGCCGACACACGAGACAGTTTATTCTTTGAAGCGATTCTATGAACTGTGTTTTTGGGCTGTGAGATTCTACCAATGCCCGATTTGCCAGATTTTTGCTCTATTATATGCATTATTTATGACTTGATACTTTGTGTTATTAAAGGATAAAATTCACAAAAATAATCAAATCCACACTAGTATTAGAGTTTGATTGTTAGGGTGGACGCATTGTATTTTGATTATCCATACGTCATATAGGACTGAGATCCTATTCTTGAAGGAAGCACCTCACTGAACAAAATGCATGTACACAACATTAGAAAATTTTTAAAATACAGTTGTACATCTACACGTATATATTCTGGTGCTTCTATATATACTTATTGAGTAACGGAATTGAAACAGTAAGAATATTATTTATCAACTCCTAGAATATTACATAAGAATCAATACACATATTAAATTATACAATCTAAAAATCACGTAAATTTGAGCTATCTATGTAGAAGAATACAAATTAACAGACGATTTGTAATTTGATGAAGCTATATCCAATTAAAATGTGTAAAATGGTGCAAGCCATAATTTATGTTTTAGGTTTTTTAAAAATTATACTCTAATTCTGAATAAGGAGCTTATATACATAAGAGAATCTATTTGTATTTATTGAGTATTGTCATTTATTACACACATCTGAAGCATTATTTCTCTTGAAAACTAGGCTTGTATTAATGGCATATGGTTAGACAAAACAAGAAAAGGACTTGAGGTATGTCAATGTGGTATCACTTGGCTTTAAATTTTAGTACCTTAACAAAAAATCACCTTTTGATAATTTTCTTTTTACAACTTTTTCCTTAAAGATATATTGAATTTCGGAAGTTTTATAGTTTTAACTTATTCAATAGACATCAATTTTTTACTCTATACACTAAGAAAATAAAAATTGTTATTTTTTATAACTTTATATTACTACGTCAAATAGTCAAGTTTTAAAATTAAAGTTCATGTATACAAAATTCATATCACTAGTTTTTGTTTTTATTTTCATAATATGATAATATTTTTATATTTGGTGTAACACTGCTACCCCCAAATAAAAATAAACCGAGCCGCTGTCTTGAATGCCATTAGGAGATTCTTGCGATAATCTGATACAAGGTTATTTTATTTTCCCTTAAAACAAGCATTAAAAATTTTGTCGATTTTCTCTTTACCTGATTTTGAGCAGGTTCACTTGACACCCAAGAAATTTGATGTATACTATTTATTAATTGTTTACCATATTTTTTTAGTGAATTATATGTTGCAATAAAGTATGGTTTAAATTAATCAAATTTCATGCCTTTTTCTTTCATGACAAAAACTCAAAATTAAAATACTGAATAAGAGCCAAGATAGGTCCTTTTATTAAGAAAAAAATATAATGGGATTTTTTTAAGTAATTGTACGATGTTAACTGATATTATATATAACACACATAGTCAAAACAACATTGAACACTCTCGTCGAAACTAATGTAAACACAAGAAATTAACCATTGTGCATACAAACAAAGATCTATCAATTTGTTTTGAGTATAAATTATTCCAAGAGATAACACTAGAAAAGTCCATTTCATGAGATTCCTATACAAACATATATTTTAAGGCTTGTCATCTGACTCAGCTCTTTAACTGTATTTGTGTGCGTTTGTACTAACATGCTTTTGTTTCCCACCTAAACTTCTTTTAGTGATTCCTTATAATTACCCTCTTTAGGAATGAGGAAGACTGATAGTGAAGGAAGCACACACCTTTTGATTTGGTTCGTTCTTCGTCCACCTTCAACAAACCCCACTTTTCTTTTTTAGCTTAAAAAAGAACCAAATTCATTACTACTTTCATCCTATAGTTTTTTGGTTATAGCCAAACACCATCACATACTCTCTGTGGCCCATCTACCTTTATTCTTTTTTGTTTCCATTAGCAACTTATGTTTTGCATTATATATGCATGCATGACATTTGAATGAACCAACCATGACCACACATCTTTCAAGTATCGCCATATGTTCTTATTTTACAGTACTACTAGTCGAAGTGACTAAAGCTTAAAGGAAGATTTGTTTTCCGGCCTTCAAATTTTTAACTAATATTGCTTTCTTTCTTTTTAAAAATATTAAATAATGCAATACATCATAAAGATTTAGTATCAAGTTCTTCTTTCTTTCAGATTTCTTCATTGATCTTCGACAAGTTGTAGTGTTCAAGACAACTTGTTTATGCTTTGACTACTCAAACCATGTTTCTAATTAATCTGTTAAGAACAAAATTTATATCATACTTAGGGTCATATAGCAATATAGAATTGAAAATTGATTAAGAATATCATCTTTTTTTTTTCTTTTTACATTTGAGACATAAAATAGTTCAAATATAATTCATAATTTAAATTAAATTAGGATTTTATTAGAAGACTTCAATAACAAACAACGTTTCTGACTGTGGCTATTAGAGGTCACTTGCATTTTTCTTCCCTCTATTTTGACAAATCCAAGTTGGAGGTCATTGGAGTAATGTTGCAAGTGCCAACAACAATTTACCACAGTATGTCAAAAAATAGTTATTTTTAAAATATGCAAGCAACAAATATATGATGAATATCAAAATATAAAATTTTATTTTTTATCTTTAATAGTTAGAATTAAAATTATTACGGTGAAAGCTAAGAAATATGCTATAAATTAATTATTTTGACTCATTCTACAGAATTTTTTTTTATTTGTAATATATATACAGCACTGATATAGCTGAAATTACAAAGGTGTACTTCCAATTTTAATTTCGAAACTCATTTATAACTCTAATTTCAAAGGCTAGACGGAAACTTTGAAGACTTATGGAAATTTTTCCTCACATTTCACATATTATCTATTTTTATATATTATAAATTTGAGTCTCCACTTTTTTAAAAAAAATAACTTCCATAAATCTACTCCCCCACTCATGCATCAATCGCATGTTTCGTGAGTTCTTTTATTAATGATTGAATCAATATATTTCTCTTCAATATACACATATAACCAAAGAAAGTTTCTACTTTTGAATAATTAAATTTCTTTAATGTTTCATATATATATATATATATATATATATTCATAAACTTAATTAAAATGAATTAATAGTATAATTTTTTTATACTTTCTTCTAACAATAAATTATTATATCAATAAAACTTATTGATATTTATAATAATTAATTTAAAAGTCATATGTACCATATATTCTTATTAATTAACAGTCTAACCCTTTTTATATTATAATACTTCAAAATTAAATTCTTTCTATTTATATTATTTGGGATATTTTTTAGTTTGATTAAATGGATGTTGATGAATGTTTAATCATCATTAAACTTTTAATTATGCTCATTAAGGTAGTGAATAAAATATA